ATCGGGAACCGTAGGTGCAATCTGCACATGCAGGTAAGGTTCTGGAACGGGAGGGTCGATGTATGCCTGATGATCCATTGCTGGGGTAAACCCATGAGGGATGGAATCAACTAACACCCGACGCACAATCACGTCCAAACATTGCAGCTGGCTCTTCATAGCCGATCTTACATAGTTCTCCCACTGATCCGCACAACCAATTGAGATCATTCGTCTGAAGATGTTTGGAGGACAACCTAGGTGCAGTACACCATCAACCGCAATGCCATCATCTCCAAGGCAATGTAGCTCCTCCCGAGCCCTTGCAACTATGTCACTAAATGAAGGCCTATCATTGAATAGCACAGGCACGCTTTGTATGTCAAGAAACTCAACATATCCATAGCGATCGCTTTCAACGGTGCCTCCATGATATATATGGTCACTAGGTTGTCCATCTAATTCAAACACGTAACGAAACACATGTCATTTGGTCCACATTAGTCGATAGATAGTACTTTCTAACTACAAACTAAGTAATCAAGATAATAATTACGTACATATTTACAGTGTACTCACTAAATAGCTAGATCATATGTACATAACTAAAAATGTAACTACATATCTAAGTACCTATCTAACTATATCTCTGTGCCTATGCGTCTATATTTTTATCTATCTATATATATATCTCACTAGATCACTAACTAAATCAACTACCTCAGTCATCACATTAACTAATAAATAACATATGGCAACTAAGTAGGTACATTGCATATTCATAATTTTTACCTTTCCGGGCCGGTGGAGGATGGGCGTGGGTCAGGCCGAAGTTCCGGGCCGGCGGCCAACGACAGTGGTGGAGCGCGGTGGGCGCGGGATGCCCAGGGCACGCCGGCTCGACGGGCGTGGGAGGCACGCCGACGGTGGAGGGCGGCAAGGCGGGGCGAAGCCGGCGGTGGAGGGCGGCAAGACGGGCCGCGGCTGAGGCCGGCGGTGGAGGGCAAGGCGAGGACAGTGGTGGAGGCGGCGTGGTGACCAACCACGGGCAACAGCGCGGTGCGGGGTGCGGCGCGGCGAGGGATGTGGCGCGGCGCGGAGCATCCAGCAAGCCGCGGCGAGGGGCGCGGTGCGTGATGGGGGGCGGCCTCGGGGTGCGTGCACGGAGACGGTGGCAGCCGCGGGCGCGGGAGCAGGCGCAGCGGCACGTGCTCGGCGCGACGCGGGCGCTGCGCAGGGCGGGCGCGCGGTCGCGGCGGAACCGCGGGCGCGGCGCGGCGGGTGCGCGTTGCCACGGCGGGGGCAAGGGCGCGGGCAAGGGCGGCGGCGGCACTGTTCGGTCGGCTAGGGCGAGAGAGAGAAGAAGAAAGGAAAGTCGTGGCCCGGCAGATATTTTCGAGCTCGGCGCCAGAGTGACTGGCGCCGAGCCCCTGGCAGGTCACAAACCGTGCCCAGGAGTTCGGCACCAGAGTGATTGGCGGCGAGCTCGGCGCCAGCATGAATAGCGCCGAGCTAAGGATCCATTTCCGGAATTATCTCCGCCAGAGGTCTATTTGTGAGAAACTTTCAAAAGAATGGCCAAATTGTAAAAAATTCAGATCTGCTGCCTACTGCGCGAGCTTGTGTAAGGGCCATTTTGGCAGCGGATCGGATCCAGCTCCTCCCAAAATAGCTTCGGCTCTAACCGGAGTTTCTCTAAAATAGCTAAAGCACTTTTCAAAAACGATTAACAAAACGGAGAGGAATAGCTCCACATTTCTGTTGGCTTCAGGGACGGACGAAACCATTTTCACCGGCTCTAATAACTCCGTATGGATTCAATGACACGACAGCCATCTCAAACAGCGGCCGCCAAGCCCTGGTGATGGATGTATGTATCCAGTCCAGGTCTTTTCTTCATTCTAGTCGTTCGTTCAATCATTAGCGCTTCAGACGTTCATTCAGAGAAAAAGTCCAACAACGGTGGTTCGGAGTTCGGAGCTCAGAAGAACGAGCAGGTGGTATTCAGTATTCACACCGGAGACAGCCATTAGCCCATGGCCGTATACTTAAGGCACTAGCTTCACTTCCGTTTCAAATCATAATTGACTGTACTTTCAGAGGGGGGGAAGAGAAAAACTACGGTTTCAGAAGAAATGCTTGAAGTTATCAGCCTGTCTTATCAGCTATGGTATAATATTTTTCTCTCACAATAAATCAGCGAACAGTATTTTTAACCTGGCTTTTCAGCGAAACGAACGAGGCGGGGTTTCTTGTCCCTCACGACTCACGTGCGTTTAGCATGCAGTTGACGGGCACCGGTTCTTCCTCCATCTGCTGCGCAACAAAGAACAAACCCCTAGCCTCGGCTTCAGTTAGTTCCCATGGCTCGTGGATCCATCCACCGTACAGAACAGGGCTCAACCTGAAACTTAGCAACATGCCAGAGCATCGCAATTTCTTACAGTAATGTCTGAGAGGCTAACAGGCCAACAGCTGAGCCTGCTGCAGCCATCGGCCGGAGCAAGCAAAGAAACAGACTGAACGCGTACCTGAGAAATGTCAAGAGCATTTCGGTTTCAGGGAACGGATGCGTCGTCGACGTTCAACGGCGCCGATGGAACAGGCTGTCCATCCTGTCCCACGCTTCCCCCGGAAACCAGAGATTTTAACCCTGCCCTTGTTTAGATTGTAATTTTTTATAATCTGGACACTGTAGTACGTTTCATTTGTATTTGACAAGCTTTGTTCGATCATAGACTAAGAGGGTGTTTGGGACTGCTCCACAAACTCTGCTCCATAAATTCCATCGTGGAGCAGCTCCATAAAAAACTGGAGTTTGTGGAGTACCTCTTTAGGTGCTCTCACAACTCCACCCTTTTTCCTGGAGCAGAGTGCGTGGAGCTGAAACCGTTTGGCTAAAAAACGTGGAGCGGAGCTGAAAAATGTGGAGCGGAGCAGTCCCAAACACGCCCTAACTAGCCTCAAAAGATTCGTCTCGTGATTTACAACTAAACTGTGTAATTAATTATTTTTTATCTACATTTAATACTCCATGCATGCGTTCAAAAATTGATGTGATGGAGAGAATGAAAAAACTTGGAATTTTGAGGCAATCTAAACGAGGTGTTCCAGGCAGAGGCAGATGCATGTATGTTCGGATCCTCAGGCGACCAGCTCATTGTACTATCAGCACTGTATTGTTTGACTGGTTGTCCATCTGTATCAGCGGAGACTGAAATTTCGTACGTGCAGGTGAGAATGTAGAATGATGTACGGAGTACCTTCGTCCGGAAAATAATCCAGGCCATGTTTAGTTTATCCCAAATCCAAACTTTAGCACCATGCAAAAAGAAGATTTTCCGTCACATCAAATTTGCGGTACATGCATGGGGTACTAAATGTTGACGAAATCAAAAACTAATTGTACATTTTAGTTGTACTTTGCGAGATGAACGTTTTGAGCCTAATTACTCAACGATCGGACAAGTATTACCAAATACAAACGAAACGAAACGAAACGCTACAGTGTGCTACAGTAATCCGGCGGGCCAACTCTGCCGAACTAAACATGGCCCCAATCTTCGTTTCAGAGAGAGAGAGAGATTTCTGAATGGAGACACCGTACATCCCCAGGCTGGTTTCATCGTTTCAATTCATTTGTGTCACCGCAGTTTGGGGCTGTACCCTTGGATCATATCTTGACAGGCAACGATCTCAGTTCCTCGCAACTGAAATCGGACGCCTGAGAATAGTGCCGCAGCCTTTACGAAGTAGTAGACGCCTAGACCCGCAACCGTTCACAGCAGGGACAGGGAGTGAACTCTTTGACGGCTGCAAAAGTAGCCATTGAGGCTCAGAAACAAGCTCTCAGTTAGGATTAATTGTTGTTGGTGCTGCTGCTATTGTCCCAACATTGCAACGATGGCAGTACCGGACCGATTTTTGGGCTTTTTTTTTCGTTTCAGCAAAGTGGAGCCCAGTTGAAGCAGCTAGGCCTTGTTTAGATTGAAGAAAATTTCAACCCGATGAATAGTAACACTTTCGTCTTATTTGGTAAATATTGTCCAATCGTGGACCAACTAAGCTCAAGAGATTCATCTCGTAATTTCCAACTAAACTGTGCAATTAGTTATTTTTTTTACCTATATTTAATACTCCATGCAAGCGTCCAAAAATTGATGTGATGGAGAGAGAGTGAAAAAACTTGGAACTTTAAAGGGAACTAAACAAGGCCCTAGTACAGTTGAGGCCACATGCCTACCGTACCATACTACCATACCACAGCAAAACGCTGCACGTGATTGATGGAACCAGTAATCTCCCCCATGGACCACCACTGTCCACTGCGAGGCATCTTTCAGAAAATCAAACGGAACGAACAGGCAGACAGGTGCATGGGGATTGCAGAGAAAATCTTCCTCTGTTTCGCGATCGCATGCTCTGCTCTCTACTGTTCATCAGGTCATCCATCTCAGGCTGCACGCAACGCAAATTCAGGTTCAGGGTCCAGCTCGACAGAGCGTGTGCAGTGCAGACTGCAGACACGCTTCTGGAATCTGAGCCTCAGGAGATTGCTTGCAGCTCTCACACAATCATCTCTTTGGAGGAGTATATTGCAGTATACTAGGAGTAGGCAGTAGCATAGAAAACAGAAGAGAATTACTAGCAAGAAACAGAGGAGATGACTCGTAACTGTCGAAGACGCTGGAATGCTTATGCAGAGAATCAGCTATCAGTCTTTACAGCTCGTCGATCAATGCGAAAACACGCGACGAATTCGAGTATTCAGATACTACTAAAATCATGGCTAGCAGGCCCGGTTTTCTTGGGCATTTTATTGCTCATGCTATCATCATCCTTCTTCTACTAATGGTTGGTTATATACGCTCATAATTTGAAAACGGAACAGCACCTAGATGCAAGGTCGGTCTACAAGCTCACGCGACGAGGCAGCCATGTCCAAGCAAGGACATCGATGTCGTTTTGTCCCGGTGTCCATGGCGGTCCCGTTGATCGGTTCGTTCCATGCGGTTAGCCGGCTAGAAGTTAAGCATCTCCCAGATGAGCTCCGGGTCGAACGACGGCATCTTGTCCAGCGGGCAGTCACCGTCGGCCGAGGCGGCGCTCACGGACAGCACCCCGTCCGGCGACCCGCACGGCGTGGTCGACGTCTCGGAGGTAGTGGTGGTCGTCGTCGCGGCGCCCTCGGAGGCGACCGGGCGCGCGGCGGCTGGTTTGTTGGCGGCCTCGGTACCGAAACCGGAGCGGGCGCTCTCCTTCTCCTCGCGCTGCTTGCGCGCGCGCGCGCGCTTCCGCGCCATGCGGGCGCGGATGGCCTGGATCTTGGCGTCGACGGCGGCGCGGAGATGGCGGAGGTGGTCGGGGCAGTCCGGGTCCGGCCCGTCCATGACGCCCGGGAAGTTGAGGCGCGCGTACTCGCCGCGGAGCCTGTAGGCGGCGCGGTCGTAGGCGTGCGCGGCGGTCTCGGGGGAATCGTAGGTGCCGAGCCAGACGCGCACCCGGTTCTGCGGCAGCCGGATCTCCGCCACCCACTTGCCCCACTGCCGCTGCCGCACGCCGCGGTACAGCTTCTGCCGCAGCATGGCCGCCGCCGCCGCGGCGTCGTCGGGCGGCGCGGCCGGCGTCTGGTGCGGCTGGAACTGCAAGCTTGCCGAGGCCGAGGCGGCGGAGGACGACGAGGAGGAGGACGAGCTGGCGGCGGCGACGGGATGATGGTGCTTCTGCGTCTGCGGCTGTGAGGCTGCGAAGTGGCGGAGGAGCTCGCACTGGCGGTAGTAGACGCTGGAGCCGAGCGGCGGGATGGTGACCGGCGGCGGGAGGTGCGAGAAGACGGTGTCGAGCGCGCTGGTGCCGCCCGGGGAGGAGAGCAGCAGCGAGGACACGGCGGAGCGGACCTCGCCGGGGAAGCTGCTGCCGGCCGGGGGCAGCGTGCGGAGGCTCGCGTCCATGGGTGGGCTCGCTCCGGCGTGCGGTGTGGTGTGTGGGCGCGAGTTGGAGGAGTAATTGCGGGAGGAGGTTGTTACGGCCGTGGCGGGAAGGGCATTCTGGGGACGATCACTGATCCTTTTGCACGGGCTGCTGATCAACAGGGCGCGCGCCAGGTGGCCTTATATAAGCGAGGCGTCCCATCGCGGTTTTACGATTATACCCCCTGGCTGGACGGCATGTGTGAACTGGGTGACATCGTCATCTCCACTGGTGGCGGGTGCCAAAGAGAGAAAAAAAACAGCTGGTCGGCTGTGCAAACTGCAGCGGCAGAAGTCAACTCCTCGCTCAGCAATTCAGCATGTCTACACTGCCTAGCTGATTGACCTTACATCATTCTTTGATCAGATTAGGATGGAGTGATACAAATTTGACTCGGTTCACCGCGGTGTCAATGTCAAATTGTCAACGATACCTGGAAATAATATTTGCTCCCAAAATTCTCATAAGTCATAATGTCCTGCTTGTTTAGAGACAATATAAAATATTCAGTGTCTCGAAGAAGTTAGAGGACTGCTATTGCTACGGGGCTTAAAACCCAAGGCCGTTTCTTTCTCTCTTTTTTCCTTTTTGACTGCAGACCGTGTGGTTAACAATAATAACGGAGAGTAAACTACAAACTTTGGTCGCCTGCGAGAAATAGCATCTGCATGGGCCTAACCTCAAAGTAGCAGCAGCACAACAGTTGTTGCATTTTTGTGTGCGTCACGGTGACTCACACCGAGGATCAGGATGGGCAGTTTCGGGAACGCGTCTGCCCGGTGGGGTGGATGAGGCCTGGCACGTGGCGACGGGCCAGCGGACGGCGACGTAGCTACGGTCTGGGGGCAGCAGCGTCAAGAGAAGGTCGCCAGTCGGAAGAGAAGATGAGGGAGAGGGATGAGCAGCAGCCGTGCGTGACGAAGGCCGCCCAAAAGCAAACTTTTGGCATTTATGAGGATTAGTTGCGGTGACAGCGTCCGTCCTCTCCTTTCGGGCGCCACGTTTCCGGCCAGTCGGTCCTCCTCCTCGTCTTCCTTCTCGACGTCGAGGCGGTGGGGTGGGGTGCTGTGCTGGAACCCGTCCAGGCGTCCACCGTGAGCCGTCGGGCCGTGGACGGACGGACAGACACGTCGGCAGCACAACTAACCGCCCCGGACGCGGCAGAAACAGCCGGCCTAGGAACCGGGCGAGCTGGCGGCTGATGGACGACGGGCCGGAACCGGGAGATGTCCCGAGCTGTGCCAGCAAGTTAAGTGCACGTGTGCCGCGTTCACGTGGTGTACTACTCCCTACCTTTTGAATTGAATTGATTGATTGCTTGACGTACACTTTCGAAATGAGATTTCCAATCTTTCTGGAGTGGTGAGAATAAGTTGGTCGTTTGAATCTCCGTGCGCGGTTCGTATGGTTTTTTTTTCTTGCCCTTTTCGCTTCTTTTATAATCTGTACTTTTCAGTTTCTTTTTTTAGTCGGAATAATATTTTTCTCTCACAACAAATCAGCCGGAACAGTATTTTGTTTGTTTTTTCAGTGAAACGAACGAAGCATAATGTATTTGTAAACTAAAATAAAGTTAATGGTATGCGTTTGTACTTCTTCTCTCTCTCTTTATTTTGGAAAAATACAAGCGTATCACCGAAGAAACAGCTTGGGTTGGAGTGAGAGAAAAAAAAGGCGTGTACTAGTCCTGTTGTTGTTCAGTGAAGTACGTACTCCTACTCTGTTGATTTTTGCTTTGCTTCACCTCTCTACGGACTACGGCGGCTCACGAGGAGCTAGCTAGCACCACCTAGTAGCTCTGTAGTTCGTAGCATGGTCAGCAATTGTGGAAGAAGGTGTCGATTGCAAGACAAGAGTGACGCTTGTTTCGTGTCCCGGTGGCGTGATCCAGGTCTCAGAAGAAACAAGGAGACGTTCAAACAGTCCTATCTTGATGATGGTGAAGCAAGGCAACCCGAAAGTGGTCTTTTGTCATGTACTAGCTAGGGGGGGACGGGGGACGGGGTCGTTCACACGCTTAACTAAAACTAGCTCACGTTCATTTCATGGTCAAACACCTTTTTTGTGTAGCAAGCGACAGAACGGAGAGGGACCGTTGCGAGCAGCATGCCACGTATTTGCGTTCTAGAAACCGTTTTTTTTCCTTCCATGGTGTGTATCACTGAGAATATCTGTACATGCTTTCATTAAAATGGCTCCAATTGTTTGGTCTTTTTTTTCCCCTCTTGGTGCTTGTAGATCCTTTTGTTCTTGGGCTCTTGGCCTAAACCGAACAAACGGTACGGAGTAGATCCTACCAGTTTACTTTGGGGAAAAGGAAAGATAGTTTGCTAGCTCTTTGTTATACGTTATGAGTTGTTACTTCCTTCGTTTCAAATTATAATTTACCGTGCCTTTATCCTCCATGAAACATGTCATGGCAGGGCTTTTATTAGAGCTTGTAGATGTTAGTAATATTTTATTTAAAAAGAAAAAAAAGCAAACTTGGTCGAAATATGTCCGAACTGTAGTACTACATCCGTTCCAAATTATAAGATGTTTTGACATTTTTATATTTATAGATTTTGTTATGCACCTAGATATATGTTATGTCTACATACATAAGAAATGCTATGAATCTAGAAATATCAAAACATCGTATAATTTGGGACAGATGAAGTAATTTATAACTCTACTAGGAGAGCGGACGAAAAAAAAAGATTTTCTAACTAATTTCGAAAGATAAGCCCTCCAGATATTAATGGCAACACAACACAATCATTCAAATTGGCCTTGAACGCGTACGACGTCGCTGTGGCAAGGGAAATGGTAACAGTGCTTGCCAGCCAGCTCAGATGGATCAGTCGCCAGGAATGGAATACAGTAGATACGTACGTGCCAAGTCAAAGTGAGGCCATGGCTGGGACCACGACGGCGGAACCGTTTCCGTGTCTGTGCCTGTTTGCTTAACCGCCGCGCCTAGTCCATGGCGTGGTCAAATCACGCTGCCGCCGTGGCGCACGGCACGATTTGTCACGTTAGACGGCGATTTCCACGTATAAATCCTTGAGACTTTTCTTTTCTGTGTTATTATAAAAGATCGAAATCCTCTACGTGTCTCTGAAAAAATTTAGTGGTCTTCAGCGTCACTGCTCTAACTTTTTCGGGTCCTCCATGCCACTTCCGTCAATTCAGGCTCTAACGCCGTCAAACTGCAGGTGTGAAAAGACGAAAATGCCCTTAAGTTCAAATATGTTATTAATTTTTTTGAGCATCTTAACGACTTCAAATGAAAAAACTCAAAACTAGAAAGTTGTAGATCTCGTCGAGATCTATAATTTTCATATAAAATTTATTTTCATTTAATTTCGCAAAAAAAATATGATTTGATATGATTAATATATATCTTAGAAAAATCATCATATTTTTTTTACGGAATTAAATGAAAATAAAATTTATATGAAAATTATAGATCTCGACTAGATCTACAACTTTCTAGTTTTGAGTTTTTTCATTTGAAGTCGTTAAGATGTTCAAAAAAATTTAATAACATATTTAAACTTAAAGGCATTTTCGTCTTTTCACACCTGCAGTTTGACAGCGTTAGAGCCTGAACTGACGGAAGTGGCATGGAGGACCCGAAAAAGTTGGAGTAGTGGCACTGAAGACCGCTGAATTTTTCCAAAGACACACAGAGGATTTTGATCTTTTATAATAGCACACAGGAAAAAGTATATAAATCCTTACCGTGCCACCCTTCTGGGCGTGGCAGCACTATAGCGCCGCATCAACTAGAGTGGCGCAGCCACACACAACCTTAGAAAAATTATATTTTTTTAATATGACTTCGGATGAAGATGATCTTTATATGAATATTGTAGCTCTCGACGAGATTTATAACTTTTTAGTTTTGAGTTTTTCCATTTGAGGTCGCTAAGATGCTCAAAAAAATTAAACAAAGTTTCAGCATTATATTAATCGCGTACAAGCGCTTGTCTTCTTGAAAAAATCATATCTTTGTTATATGGAGTTAAATGGAGATACTTTCTATATGAGAATTGTAGCTCTCAAAGAGATCTACAAGTTTCTAGTTTTGAGTTTTTCCACTTGAAGTCGTTAAGATGCTAAAAAAATAAACAAAATTTCAGCAGTATATTAATCACGACAAGCGCCTATCGCTTGGAAAAAATCATATCTTTGTACATAGAGTATACTTTCTATATGAAAGTTGTAGCTCTAGATGCAACCTACCAATTTATAGTTTTGCGTTTTTGCATTTGAGATCATTAAGATGTTCAAAAATAATAATATAAAGTTTGAGCATCGTATTAATCGCGTACAAGCTCTTGTCGCCTTAGAAAAATCTTATGTTTTTGTATGGTGCCAAATGAAAATACTTTTTACATAAAAGTTATAGCAGTTGATTGGATTTACAACTTTATAGTTTTGAGTTTTTTTTTCATTTGATGTTATTATCTTTTGCGCTCGATGTGACTGATTACGAGAGTCACACTGGGGAGTTAGACTTGGAATTTGTTTTAAGAAAAGGTTAAAAAAATTCTGCTGTGCCGTGCCCCCACACCCACAGAGGCGATGAATGACTGACCGACTTGTTGACGACCGATCCAGGTGTCGTACAAGCCTAACGAACAGCAGAGCAAATCCCCGACCGACCACGACCTAACCCCGGCCCGTGAGCCGTGACCCCATGTCAGCATCCCATTATCCCAAAGAACATCCCGAAGGCCGGGCCGGCCATGCATCTTTGAGGCCCGCAGATCGGCAGATGCATGACTGAGCACGCACTGCCTGATTGATTGATCGCCAAGCATTTCCAGCTGTTCACACACCGTGCATGATGCATCTCGGGTCTGTCCCTCAGCATCTTGACTCTGAAGTGGTAGGCCAGGCCGGGCTGGGGTTCAGCAGCAGACCAACCCTGAAACTGAAATAAACCCATCTCTTCAGGTTACCCGAGAGCTTTTCAGAAACGCGCAGCACA